GGAGGCTCAAGAGAGGGAACTGCGGAAGCGAGAGAAGGCAGAGGAGAAGGAACGCAGAAGGCGGGAATATGACGCTCAGAAAGCTGCAAAACAGGAGATGGAGAAGAAAACTAAAAAAGAAACGGTGCAGACCCGAAGTAAGTGGTATCAATTTTGGGTGGGATTGCATCAGATTCCATCTTAATCAGACTTTGATGCTGCCAGAATTGCTTTCATGCGGCCCAGGTACTGGGGATGTTGGGAATGGGCAGAGGGAACCTGTAGGAGTTCTGATAGACTCTTGCTGCTGTGCCCTTTTCCTCTTTGCCTGTGCTCTCATGAACTGTGGAGCTACAAGATTCAAATTCTCCAGCTGTTCCCAATGAGAACTTCCCTCCACTTATTTCAAGTGTACTGAACTACACGTGCAAAACCAGATCTTGTGCAACACAGAGGTGCTTTACACCCTCTTCACTGCTGCCCATGAAACTAAATCTGAAACTTTTCATGATAAACAGTTAAATCCTGCACATCTACCTATTTATCAGAGCTAAGTAATGAAAATTCATGACAAAAGCCAACTGCAGCAGAGGCTGAAGTATCTTGCCTGAGCAGTTTGTTTCCGAACGCAGACTGTTAAAGATATTAGATGAATTCCTCACGTTCTGTCCTGTCCATGTTCTCATTACAGAGCCTGCCTCCAGCTCCCGTCCCCCTCAGCCCCCCCGGCACAAGCCCTCGTGGTCACGGTCGGTGCTGAGGGTCCTGCTCTTTGTGCTGTTCTGCATCCTGTGTGCTCTGGCCGCCTGCAAGCTGACAGAGCTGCAGCGTCAGCCCCTGTGCGTCAGCGTGAACACCCTCTACGAGGACGTGGTGGCTGCCCTGCAGAACCACAAGACCCTGCAAAACATGCTACAGCACAACTCGCAGCAGTGATCGTCCTCGACGGGCATTTGCTTCGTCAGCATCTCCTTCCACCATCTACGCAGCCAGAATTCCTATGGAATTGTGTTCTGATGAAACTGCTTTGAACCAGTCAGCGTTGGTTTGCTGGTCCACTCCACAGAGCAGAGTTATTGTTCAGATCATCTTTGCTGTGCATGTTTTGCAGTTGGCCTGTAACTCCCGTTTTTTGCGCACGTTAAACCTAAACTTGTTACCACTTCTCACCTCCAAGTCGTGGTCACCAGGATTGTGAGGTACAGGAAGCTGCCAGTCTATAGGAATGGGAAAAACCAGCCCTCACCTTGCCTGGGTAGCTGTAGCTCTGAGCTGGAGGTGGAAGGTTTTTAATACATATCCATTCCTTGCTCTCATTTCTGTTTGTGCTAAAATTGGTGATATGGCTGTATGGGAATAACACACTAAGGCCCACTCCAGGACCAATTACAGGCATGTAGGATGGCTGTGCATCCGTATGTTGGAGCGAAGAGGCTGATGTGCTATTGAAAGGAGCTGATAATTTTCAATACAACAGTTTTCACAGCAATTTGTCTGAACTGGATGTTTGTGTTGTTAACGCGGTTTTAGTTTTAATTAGGTCCTTTAGGAACAGCCACAAATGATTAGAGAGTACACAGGGGAATGATTCCTGCCTGCTGTATCCATGGTGGCAGCACTGGGTGGCACTGTGGGAGCACTGCTGGCAGGAAAGGTATTAGCCTTGGGGCTGGGGGAAGGCCAGGAAGTTTAGTGGCTTGCACCTGGAGAAGAAAACTCTCCTCTGCAAAGTCCTATTAATCATTTATAATTTCCCTAGAAAATATTTAAAATTAACTAATTTAAAATTTTCCTTATTAAAAAATTGGAACAGAAGTTTGTCGTATCCTTAAGGGCTTTGTGAGTACTAAAATGAAGTTAGGTTTCAGAGAGTATCCGTGCTACTGACTCCACTGAGACACCCTACACTTGTCCCCAAAGTCGCTCCCTCTTCTCATACCTGGGATAATCACTGCCAAGAGCAGTGCTGTGAGGAAATCATCCATAGCAGTTCACACCAAGGTCACCATCGAAACCTTCACCTTTTTGTAACCTGATGGTAAGGCTGTGGTTCCCTGAGTGTCACACAGGATGGAGCGGCAGCATGAGTATCAGATAAAGGCCGGAAGGGCTGCCTCTGCCTTAGCAGGGTGTATGTGTCCAAAGCTTCCTTCAAACGACTTTAAGCTTCACTTTTGGTAACTCATCCTGTTCTTTAAAAGATCCTTGCTCCCTATCCAGAAACGTTCAGGAAAATGACAAACAACATCCAAAGCAACATTTTCCTCCCTGAAGCAATTCCTGCCAGCGGCTGGGCGGGCTCAGCTGTGCCATCCAGGCAAGTGCTGCATAGGTTGGCAAATGCTGGGCTAATACAATTTATTGATTCAAGTCAGCAGTGCTGCTGGCCAGGCCAGGTCTCCTGCTGGATGCCAGGAGTGAGCATGGCAGGTGAGGTTTTTCCACTGGAGGCAGCGGAGTTCCAAAGATTAACTTCCACACGTAGGAGGCAGTTTAATTCTCTCAGCACTCATCTCGGTAAGTGCTGCTGTCACAAAAGCCCTCAACTGTCCTTGTGTGCACACAAGTGCTAATGGCTGCATGGACAGGCCGTGCTCCCCAATCTAATTAAAAGGAAGCTTTTTCTGCCAACTGTTTAGACCTCATAATTCCGACGCATATAATCAGATTTTGAGACCCTCTCTAGATTAAGCTGTCTGGAGACTGAATCAGGGCAGTCTAAATTTATATCTCAAAATTAGTCTTACTCATTCCCATCTGCTACAGCAGAACACGGAGTCTGTTTTGTGAGGTAAAGTTCTTCCACCTCACTAGAGCAGGTGCTGGGGGGGGCAGCACTGTGTTGCTTTAGCATCGGGATTTGTCCCAGAGGAGATAGAAGGTAACTCCTTGCAGTTCAGGAGAGCAGTAGGAAGCATTTCTTTCAACAGAGGACATACCTGTCTATATGCAAGACAACTCATTAAGAAGCAAAGATTATTCAAAATTATTTATTTTATAGAAAGACAAAGAATGCTGACATGCTATGAACTGTGTGCAACTCATGCTCTTGGGGAAGGTGTTCACCATCTTTCTTGTATAAACTCCAGCCATTCAGCAACTTTATCCAACTTTTTTCCTGCTATGATAAAGTCTAAATGTGCTTCAAGTCTTTAAACGAGGATCAATGACTTATCTAAGCACTTCTTCACAGAAGAAAACCGAACAGTTCAACCAGTCAAACAGTAAAACCCTTATTCCCTGGAGCTACCCAGTGAAATCTAAAAGTGAACCCTTCAACCAGACAAAGAGTAAAACCCTTATTCCCTGGAGCTACCCAGTGAGATCCAGACAGAGGTCAGGATTGTGGGAAGTCATCTGCAGATAGATGCGTCGGGACAGCTCCGGCCCGATCCGCCGGGAGGTGGCTGTCACACCCTCGCCACGGTGCACTGGGATATTGGCTAGCATGTTCTCACGCTCCTGGTCTGAGGAGCATTTTCCATAGGCCTAAAAGCAACACAAAGGAACAACACTATCACCCATTGCTCAAAAAAACCAATCAAAGCCATGCACCTGTGACTGCTCTACCCTTCCACAATGTCCGCTCGGTTTTCACCTGGTCCCTCCTCCCCAGTCCCATCTGTGAGCTTGGAGAGAAGAACCAATGCTTCTCCCTCAGTGGTCTGCTCTGGGAATCCAAAGCAGTGGATGCCAAGGAATCAGTTCCTTCACTACCTTAGTGGACTGCTCATACAGAATCGCTGTATCTAATTTAATACCGATTAAATGATTTCTTCCACCCCTTACATCAGCTGGCCACCTGCGCACGGTGCCAGGTATTCCTGAGGCATCCTCACCTGGATCAGAAGCTGAGGAGAAGGGTAGGCAGACACAATAGCCTCAGCCATCGCAGGGCTGACCCGGTTAAATTGCTGTATCTGCCTGTTCCAAACTTTCAAGAGACCCTTTCCAGAATGATCCACCTTTACCCCTCCACACCAACGCTTCTCCAAGTAGAAAGAGAACCCCGTATCCTCTCGTTCTCGCCTAGGGAGAACAAGGAATGAGGAAGGGAATAAGACAATGAAGAAAAAACTGTCCCTGTGCCTGTAGTCGCAGAGCCAGAACACTGTCCCTCACTCGTGCTGTTAGAGACACTGCTGGCATCAAAAGAAATGTTGACAATTTGACCCTATTTGCTTTATATTCGTTACCAATTTCTTTTAAGACCCAGATTGATATGGAAAAAAAAGCAATCCTGACACAAGCCAACACACAGAAAAAGTGGTAAACAAGAATTCACCTTCTGGCTGTCAACCATAACACTTTTACATGTAATTTTTAACATCTCGTCTCCTCTCACAGCTGACATGGAAAATCCAGCAGCTACTGTGAAAGGAATGCCAGGACTGTGTGAGACTGCATGAGATGGCTTTCTGAGCTATCACTGTGTAACACACTGCTATTCTTCCTTAACAGAAACAGCAAAGTGGTTCATTCTCAGGCGTGTCTCTCTTGGTTATGCACTGTAGAAGAAAAGCTGGTACTGTAAGAGCCCAGCCCTACTTGCATTCCCTTCTCACTCCAAAAATCTGCCTGAGAACAATAGCTTTACTTGATGTCAAGACTCCAGGGTGAAACCTGAGGGTGCTGAGGCACTGGAACAAGTAGCCCAGAGAAGCTGCGGCTGCCCCATCCCTGCAAGTGTTCAAGGCCAGGTTGGATGGAGCTCTGAGCAACCCGGTATAGTGTGAGGTGTCCCTGCCCATGGCAGGGAGTTAGACTAGATGATCTGTAAGGTTCTTTCCAACCCAAACCAGTCTGTGGTTCTGTGAAATCAGGGTCTGTCCTCACCTCTCCAAGGGCAGGACATCAGTTTCAAGAACAAGTCCTGTGTTGAGGGAGCTGCATTAGCAGCTGCTGTGTGTCGCCTGCTCCTTTAAAAACCATTATACACTGTGTTGTACCTTCTATTCCCTCCCAGTAACTGAAAGTGCAGCCTCTCCAAATGAAGGACCAAACCTCCTCTGCTTACTCACTTGAATGGTGCCTCAGCCACAGCTTTTGTGAACATAGTGGCATATTCCCCGAGCTCCTCACAGCTGTCAAAAAAGCTGACCTGGACTTGTGTGCACAGCTGCAGATCCACCAGGGCCTGTATCACCATTGGAAACAACAAATGGGACAATCAGTCTTGTCACATCAAACCCTACTTTCGTCTGAAACAGAAAAGGGTTACAAAGATCTCGCTGTAGAACAAGAACATCTGCTCTCTCCCCATTTTGGGAACAGTTAATTTACGGCACTGAAGTATTCAGGGGCAGTCTGTCTCTGCCAGGTAGTATCAGTTCAGCGTCCTCTGAGCTGCCACAGCTCCTCCATGGCACACTCTTGTTACACACAGGGCACTACGGATGGGCTTTGCCAACTGCATCCTCCCATCCAAGAAACGGTGTGACTAGGTCAAATGTTCAAACACTGGCAGACAACAGATGATGGCTGCATATCTGTTTTAAAAGGTACTCACTTCTTCCATGTCCATTCTGGTTAACTCCAGGCCAGAATCCTTAATTTTCCTTTTTCTCCCTTTTCTCTGGTCCTCTTGGTTCCCAGGCGCTGCTGCCTGTTGCAGTCTCTGTTTTGACTGAACTCCGAGGGACCTAAAAGGAGTAAAAGTAAGACCAGGGTGAGAGGCTGGATAGGCCTTTGCTTCTGTCTTTGTATAACAAACAGTGGAGCAGATCTGGGTGGGAATACCGCTCATACTCCAGTCTTTGCTAGTAGGAGTTAATATAAACACCTATGGCATTTTTCAAGGCCAGAGAAAAACATAGAAGTGTTTGGAGGGAAAGAAGTTTGACCTGAAATAATTTTCTACTCCAACTACTGCCAGAGCCAGAATTTTCCCAGGTAGCTTCTCCATCACGTGAGCTACATAGCTCTGCAGGGTCATCTTCTGCCCTTCTGTGCAGCTGTCAACCTTCTGCAAAGATGGGAAAAAAAGGGGTTAAACCATTCTGAGGTACACATAGAAGCACAGCAAACTATGGCTCTGGTTCTGGTTTTGCAGATGAGTCTGTTCACACTTGCTCTTCAGGGAAAGCAGGCAATACTTGACCCTGTGTACAGTTACAGCAGAAAGAAATAAAAAATAATTCCCACTTCATGGAGCAATGTTACCCCTTCAGGGATGTGTGAACATTTTTAACTAGGAAAGTTTGTCAGAACTTTACATTATACAACCCAGCGGTTTTGATCCATTAATAGCTCAAACCCCCAGATTTCTGTTTTACTGAAAGCCTGCATTCATCCCCCACATAAGATTTTGTCCCACACCGAAACATTCCTGCCACAAAGAGGGATGACAAAACACCAGTTTTGCATCAAGGCATGTACAGGAGCACAAAAGTCATAAGCGCTCTCACTTGTTTGTAATTCTGAGCCATGGACAAAAACTCCCCCAAGCCAAGCAGAACCAGGACATTTAGTTCTTCTGTCCGGTCATCTCCCATCTGTTCAGATATGAAAACAAATAGTCAGGCTAACAGTCTGTTCAGAATTCACTCAGACTCCCACTCAGAGCAGGGAGTTTAGGGGGTGTTTACTTGTGTTGCTAAATACAATTATGAGTGAGTCCGAACAACAGACGAAAAAAAGGCAAAAACATCAAGATTTTAATTGCACACCTGAGACGACACAGTCTTTCTCCTCCAGGTGATACTGCAGGGAACAGCCTGGTTCTCAACCACACAGGAATAACTGGCAGCCTCCAAAGCCCTAAGGATCTGCTCACCACCTTCTACCTGTAAGAGGGCTGAAATGGGCACATGGGTCAGGCCTCCACAGAGAGGAGACAAACAGCCAGTGCAAAGCAGGTGCAGGCTGTGAGGACAACTACCTGGATCCAGCACCACTGTTATGTATTTCTGGCACTCTCCCGGCCGCTGAGCTTTCAGCGTCTTGGCAAGGGCTCTCTTCCTCTCTTTCTCCTCCTCCTGCAGCCTCCTCTTCGCCTCTCGTTCTTTCCTCCTCTCCCATGCAGCCTGGCAGACTGCCTCCCTTTCCCTCTGACTATACTGTCGCTTCTTGGGAGGGGGGGACGTTTCTGTGCTTGCTCCGCTTACCAGGGGGCTGCTGGGCTCGTCTTGGCCGACCGGCAGCGCAGGTCCCTCAGCACCGCACGTGCTGTTTTCACCGCCCCAACAACCTCCTCCAGACGGCGCTGGGTCTCCCCACGGCCCTTCGCCGCCCGGAGCCAGCAGGTCACCGCTAGCGCAAAGCCCGCCGTCCGGCTGCCAGCAGGGCTCAGAACCCGCTCCCCCTCTCGCCGCGACCCTGCTACGCAAAGCGGCGACCTCCTCCTCCACCACCACCACCTCCTCCTCCGCCTCCTCGCCCCCGCTGCTCACCACCACAACTTCGGGGGCGGGAGATGGGGGCCGCGGGGGCCTCGGCTTGTGGAGCTCCAGCAGGGAGGACAGGCTGGGCAGCTCCTCCTCGCTGCCGCTCTCAGACCGCAGCTCCGCCATCACGACCCCTCCCCTCAGAAAATCCCCCCCCGCGGCCACCCCTGGGGGGGGGGGGGGAAGCCCGCGCTGGGCGCTGATTGGCCGGAGGCGCGAGCGGGCCAATCGCCGCCAGGTGCGCGCGCACGCCGCCATCCCAGCGGGGGGCGGGGAAGAGGAAGGGAACAAGATGGCGGCGCTGGGGAGGCTCTGTGAGTGAGGGGGCGGTTTCACCCTCTGAGGGGAGTGGGGAGCGGGAGGGTGAGCTTGAGAGGGAGTGGGGCCGTGCGCCCCCACGCCCTCCTCACCACCACCACCATGGGAGGTCGCTCCGCGGGATGTTGCGTCCCCCCCACCCCGGGGAGCTCGGGGGGTCAGGGGTTTCGCGTTTCGCCCTGCGAGCTGAGGCGGAGCCGCGGTGGAGTGGGCGGGTTTGTGTAAGTGAAAGTGTGACTGTGGTTCGCTCCGTGACAGATCGCCTGTAGTTTGTCACGTGCCGGAGGCTTTCGTTTACTTAGTGGGTCGTCTCCTGAAATTAGTGGGGTTCTGTAGGGCAATTACCTGTTTCTCGACATGGAATCATGGGCAGGTTTCGGTTGGAAGGGGCCTTAAAGATCATCTTGTTCTAGCCCCCTGCCGAGGGCAGGAACACCTTCCACTAGCCCAGGTTGCTCCAAGCCCGATCCAACCTGGCCTTGAACACTTCCAGGGATGGGGCAGCCACAGCTTCTCCGGGCAACCAGAGGCCTCACCGCCCTCACAGGGAAGAATTTATTCCCAATATTTAACCTAACCCTTCCCTCTGTCAGTTTGAAGCCATTCTCCCTTGTCCTGTCACTCCATCCGTTGTCCAAAGTCCCTCTCCAGCTGTCCTGGAGCCCCTTTAGGCACTGGAAGGGGCTCTAAGGTCTCCCTGGAGCCTTCTCTTCTCCAGGCTGAACACCCCCAGCTCCGTGCTTCAGAGTCCCTTACTGCCACTCCCAGGGCTCTGTAATCCTTCTTAAAGTCATTAATCATAAAATCACAGAACCATTAAGGTTGGAAAAGACCTCCAAGATCATAAAGTCCAACCTTTCTACTCCTTTCGGATACTCAAACTGCTCCTGGCTGTATTGCTGATTATATGCCTATATATTGTACTGAATTGGAGTCTGCTTATTTGTAAGATTTCAGAATATAACTATGTGAGTAAGTGCCATTTGGTCAAGGGGGAAACTGAAGCAGAGATCACAACTGGTCTACTTGCCCTTTGTCAAAGCAATGTAAGAGGAGTATAAGCAATTAAGGGACATCTGTACTGCATTTTACAAGAATAAAACAGGAATTTGTGCATGTCCTTAAACATCGTTGCTGAGAGTTTTATTCCTCCCTGGGCAGCAGCAGCAGCAGCACTTGAGATGTGTCCTCTTTGCAGGGGACTTAGGCCATGGTGGTCTAATTTATCTTGGAAGCACTTTTTTTTTCCCAAAGGGCTTTCACTTGCCTTTAGTTTTAAAGCCTGTCTTAACTGATACCCTTTACATCTGACAAATGAAATTATGTGTAATAGTTTTTCAGCTGATGTTGTGGTTCTTTCTCCAAACCTAGTTCTAACCACTCCCCAGACAAGCCTGGTTGCTGTCAGATGGGCTTCTAAGAAAACGGGGGGCAGCTCCAAAAACTTGGGTGGCCGCAGCCCTGGGAAACGCTACGGGTTCAAAAAAGTAGAAGGTAGGTCTGAGCACCTGCTGGGTCTTATTTGCATTTCACTGGGTTCTTCACAGCTTCTCCCCTGGTACTTGTCACTTGTTGAGTGTTTCAGGAGGAGGTGGGCAGGGCATTTTCCAGGAGAAGGGAAAGGGGAGGATCAGTGAAGCCTCGTGATCAAGGGTTGCTGGTGGGAGGGTGGGGTGAGTCAGCCTCCCACCCCAGGAGCCCTGCCGGCCACCAGCCAAAATTGCCTACAGAAAATGTACTTTGGTTTATCCTTTTCCTCTCTGGAGCACCCGGAGGGAGGGAACGCTGCGGGACACCTCATAACTGCACTGCACTTTCCCCCCACGCTGGGTGGAAAAACTGAGTCTTTCCAGTGTTTACAAAGGAGAGAATTACGAGGCTTAGCAGAAGCCAAAGTGCAGATTCTTGCAGCTGAGTGCTCAGTAATTATTAGCTTTGCTGATGGAAACATATCGATGTAAAGGTAATAAAACAAATGCCTTCAGCAACCAGAAAATGCCTTGTACCCCAGAAGCAATCTTTTCACATCTGACTTTTTGCCATGCTCTGTCAGTTGTCCCTTATTTCCTGCTAATAGCATATTTGTTAAGATGCTTTTAGCGTTTAAAGTAATTTTTCCTAGGAAAATGCCCACAGAAAGCTGTGATTTGTAATTCCTGGAACAACTTGTGTTCTGCCAGGGCTTTGGGGAGCTGCTTCTCTGGAGTCTGACCCTGTCACTCTCTTGCAGGTGCCTTTGTCCATGCAGGCAACATTTTGGCTACGCAGCGGTTGATCCGCTGGCATCCCGGCGCTCAGGTAAGGCCTTTTCTCTCTATTCCCTGGTTCTCAGAGAACAGCAGCCCACCCAGAGTCCCACACCTACTGCCTCCTCTCTTTCAGTCTCATTCTTAATGCTCATCCCTGTGTTCTATATGTCCTGACATCGGGGTTTCATCACCTGGTATCTGTTGGTCACAGAGCCTGCTCAGAGCCACCCCTGTGTCCACGGGACTCAGGGGAGAACTGCAAGTTATGGATATCCCAGAACACTTCTGTGGCCTGACTGGGCACTTGTCCTTCAGGGTGAAATGGGTGTCTCCTCCCTCGTACTGAGCACCATTGCACACTGATTGCTTGGAAGCAAGTTGTGTGGCTTTCTTTTATTTTAAAATACAAAGCAACAGATGCTGTTGAAGCCGGGATATCAAACGAGGCAGACCAGCGATCAGATCTGCTTTAGCTGGGGGCCTCCAGCCCCTCCTTTCTAACGCTCCTCATCCTCTCCCAGGTGGGGATGGGCCGTAACAACACACTCTACGCCCTGGAGGACGGGATTGTGAGATACACCAAGGAGGTCTATGTGCCCCGGCCCCGCAAGAGCGAGAGCAGGGATGTGATCTGCCGCCTGCCCAAAGGAGCAATCCTTTATAAAACCTTTATCAGTGTCATCCCCAACACAGAGGTAGGAAGCTTCAAACTGGTCACCATGCTGTGAGCCTCCTGTGTCACGCAGGCACGGATGGGAAGGACAGACCACTACAGCTGGACTGGCATCTGAGGATGAGAGTGTTCTAGCTCTGGAGATACCGGTTTAGGACTTGGTTTGGCTCCTAAAGCACAGGTGGTCAGTGTTCAGGCACTGGGATCACCTGCTGGAATTTGAAAGAGTGTTTAATAAATGCAGTGGGGCAGCTGAAGGTCTTGGCCGATCACAGAATGTGTTATCGTGTTCATTTAGCATCTGGACAACCTGTTCCATTGTGCCACTGGATGACTTCCCTCTACAATCACTCTTATGTCCCACTAATAATTCCCTCTTATTTTTACTCATTTTTAGTCATTACCATTCTATTTGTACCTTAATTTACAATACTGCAGAACAGATCCTTTTCCACGTGCATCTAACGCTGTGTTCCAGGAAGCTGGATTTTTCCCTCTGTCTAACTCACCTCAATGATTAACTCAAATACCTAAATGTTCCATTCACTGGCCACATGAGGCAAATTCACAGGCATAACTCTCAACTCATGACTAAGTTCTGGGGCCTGGTAAGATACTGAAGTCTGGGCTGGCATTTGAAGCTCAGCAGCTGGAGGTGTGTCATAAAGCCATAATCCAGGAGACTTATCATTTTATCTTTGAGTCATTACATGATATTTTTGAGCTTATATTGCTCGAAATGAAGGAGCCCAAATGACTTGTGGCCAAACTGATCTCATTTTATCTACAGGTTGGTAAACAATTTGAAACATTGACTCTGCAGTAGAAAACAGGTTATCAAAATTGGTGGTGTAAGGACACCGGTGTTGACATTATTAGACAGTTCTTCTGCTCTGCAGAAGACCAGGTGAACTGGGTCAGCCACACGTGTCCACCTGTGCTTCACATTCTTCATGGAGACCACCAGCTGTTGTGTCCACACGTCTGTCCTTCCCCCGACTGCAAATCCAGTCCCATGATTCATCTCAGTGGTCGGTGTTTGCACACAGCAGGTAACACAACCCCCAGAGCCTCTCCAAATCCATGTCTGAGGTCTGTACAGACCTGCTGTTAGTCTCAGGTCCATTGCTCCAGAGCACACAGCGATGCTCCAGTGCAGATCCACTCACAGTGGGGATCCCCACCTGGCAGCCAGTACAGGGATACAGTAAAACACCTGGTAACCTACGAAACGAGTGAAGTAGCATGACACCAGGAGTGTCTGAGGTCTGATCCTTGGTATAGCCGGCAGTGCTGCCTCACTGAGGTACAATGTGCTGCTCCTGAGGAGCTGTGGCTGAGCAGACCTTCCCCTTGGCTTTGCCCTGTGCAGCTCCAGCAGCTGGTCCGTCTCCTTTGGTAACAGTGTTTGCCAGAGAGGAGCAAGCAGATGTCCCTGGTTGCTCTGCTGGCTCCGTGGTTGTCCTTGTGCTGCAGGAGAGATGGCAATGCTGGCTGGGTCTCTACTGATTGTGGATCTGGGTGAAGGTTTGGCCATTCCCTGCGGAGGGGAACAGTGTCCCAGGCACTTCTGTCGCTGACAGCACAGGAAGCAGCAGCAGGCTGAGGCTGAGGCCTTACACCGCTGTGTTTCGCTGAGTTTGGTAGCTGAGAGGGGCATGGAAAGGGTCTGGAACACCACATCTGTCCAAGGTCTCTGAGCTTATTCCTGATCCTGAGAAAGCTGGAGGATGCCTCAGAGCGTGCTCATAGGGAGGTGGCATCTATTGAGGAGAGAGGAAGAGCATTACAACAGATCAGAAATAACGAGGAGATTATCCCACCTCTTCTTACAGAGCGGATGACAAGGCTCACAACCACCACCAGCCTGAAATTAAGCCCCCGCAGCCCCCAGCACAGCCGGCTGTTGGCGGGGGAACACATGGAGACAATCTTAGCATCAGTCTGCAACACAGCACAGCAGAAACCTGCCCCCCTCACACTGTGTGCCACGTTCCTGCTCTCCCCTGTTCCCCTTCAAGGACTTGGCACAAGGCCAGAAAAGACTTGACTTTTGTTAAGAGAGGACTGTTATTTGCTTTCCTTTAACCAGGGAAAAAAATCACTGGGATTTACACAAGCACCTACAAACCAGGCTTTCTACCCAGGTTTCAGCAGTGAGTCTCACTGTGTAGCAGCAGAGAAGAACCTCCAGGCCTTGTCACGTTTATTCTGGCAGAGCTGGACTAACCTTCACCCCACGGCACGTGATGGGAGTGGCCCGGGGATGTTATGGAAGAGCTTCCATTGCAGTTCCTCAGCTACTTGTCCTTGGGGATTTGCTCTCCTGTTCTCTCAGTGCTCTGGTTTCACAGAATCACAGAATGGTTTGGGTTAGACGGGACCTTAAAGATCATCCAGTTCCAACCCCCTGGCATGGGCAGGGACACCTTCCACTAGGTCAGGTTGGTAGTTTTAGGGCAGGTACCGTTAGTTACAGCTCCAGACACTGAGTGGTAAGTGCTGACTATGCCAGACTTCATGGTATAGCTTTAAGAGCTCAAAATCCAGGTAAATCAGTGAACTTAAAGTGCTCTGCTCAGAGTTTCAAAGGTTTTTGTTCTGCTTTAGGCAATGAGGTCTCTGTTAACAGGAGCCTCTCAGGATGCTGTTGCAGGACGTACTTGGTAGGTGCACTTGCTTTTCCCTATTCTATTGTGGGAGTACAAATCCAAAGTATCATAACAGGCAAAGCATCCTGCTCATAAATAAGCCATAAACACTTAAAGGTAATAGCAAGGGACCTCCCAGGAGTGTCCTGCAGGGAGAAGGGAGCAAGAACCCATGGAAGCCATAAAGATCCAAAAATAACATTCCCAGCTTGGACTTGTATGGAGCAGGTGATCTGAAGGGCCTGTTCTTTCTCCCTGGGGCTCTGCCCTGCCTCCCAGCACAGGCATTTCTGCAAACACACCGGGGGGAGATGGATCATTAACTAGCACAGATGTACACCAAAGGAGCCTCCCGATACACTTTGTGCTTTCCCAGAGATAAAAGCTATCAGGGAAAGGCAATCACAGAGAACAGAGTCCTCAGCTACCAACTGCTGAAGGAAGACACAGATATGGGCCAGAGCAGGGACTCTGCCAGCCCCCTGGGCAGGGAGGGGGAGCTCACCTCCTGGGATGGCTCTGCCCACAGCCCAAACCTCTCGGCGATCATCTGGTGGATTTCCCGCTGGCGATCTTTCTTCCGCACGCTCTCGTAGCTTGGCAGGCGGGGCTGCTCCCAGGAAGGGAGCCGGTAGGTGCTGGGGGGTCCAACGCAGAAGAGCTCATCTCCCTAGAAATGCCCATCCCGGGAAAGAAGGGTCAGTGTGACAGTGGCTCTCTTCACTGGTGCTGCTTTGAGTTACTTCAGGGTTCAGAGTTGCAGGTGCCCTGCCATCAACTCCTAGAGAGGAAATCCCTCCCAGGAGGCAATTACACCTTGACGTGCTTTGCAGGATCCGAAGCCATCAGGGATCTACCTGGCACTTCATGCTCCAACACCTCAGGGCACCGTGGTGTCCTCGGTAGTATCCCTGCCCCTCATACCCCACCTCCCCCTAGGGTTTTACATACAGGCAGCACTTCCCAAAGCTGTGGGACAGCACCAGAAGATGCTGTCCAGCACCTTCTCCATAGGTGAACCCAATAACTACAGTCTCTTCCCAACCTCATGAGCATCTTTGCCCCCATTCCCGCCCAGCTCCTATCAGGGATCCTGCCATCACCTGCATGCCGGGGTTCTCGGCAGCGCTCTCCAGCCGGGAGGCTCCACGCTGGGGTCCCACCAGCCGTTGGCTGCTGCTGAAGTAGGGTGGGGGGCGGTCCTGCAATGAGGAGGACATGAGCAAAGTCAAAACCCCTCACGTCCTGCCTGGCAGCTCACATAGGACAGCATGGGAAGTGGGACTCTGGCAGAGGAAAAGCTGCTCCCTCTGCCCATCTGGCTCATGCAGCTCTCGCTGCTGGCAGTCTCTGCCTGTTCCACAACACCGATGGCTCAGGCACATCCTCTCCAGCAGCACAGGGCCCGCTCCAAGGGGCACAGCACAGCCTGGGCCTGGGGCAGGGTTTCACTGAGACTCAGCAGAACCATTTCTCTTTGGGGAACAACAAAACCCAACCCAATTATTCCGCTGGTGTGGATAAGAGCTCTGTTGTGCGCTCAGGGTTACAGAACTTGTAAACTCTTCTCTACCGAGGTTGTCATTTCAGGATAACGCAGCAGGCAGATCTGCAGGGCAATAGTCGTGCCACTCCTGAGCAGTCTTGCTTCAGTTAAACTGGATTCCCTGTCAAGGTGTTGAGCAACAGTGAGCAGAAATCCTACTCACAGAGAACGGCCCCTCGAGCCAGAGCCAGGACTTGAACCTTGGCCATTCCTTGCTCTCAGAAAACCCCATCTCTGTCAGCTGAGAAACTCCCAGGGAGGCACGTGAATGACTGATTTACTTTTGCTCTTAACAACCAAGGAACTGTTTGTCTTGGCCCTACAGCACAACTATGGAGACTGCAGGAACACAGGGCCCAACTTGCGTATCAATAACCGATGAGCAAAACCAGCACAACTACACCTGCCCAAAAGCTGCCTCACGTGCTACAACTGCTTTACTTTATCTGATGGAAACACATCCTATACACATTCCCTTTCCGTATATAGTTCTTTGCATCCATCTTTCCCACGCAGCCCTGCTTGAACCTCCCACCCCAGAGCCAGGCCCCAGCACGGCACAGGCTCTGCAGCTCAGGGTGCATCCTCACTGCCTCAGGGAGCAGCTCTACAGGGCAGGGATCACGGCAGCAGGGCCTAATTCCAATGTGTGCCATGGGCAGGCAGCAGGGAGGAAGGGGGGGAAAGGAGCAATTAATCATGGCTGCACTATTAGTGCAGCCCATTCCCACTGTGATTTTTGCTGAGGACTTCCTAGCCTGCACTGGACTATTAGATTTGCCTTTCCCAGCACAAGTTTCTCTATCCCTTGCTAGCGAGGCTGAACATCCCCTCCTCTCCCGTAGAGGAGCCGTACCTGCAGCCCTCCCCTCAAGACCCATCCAGCCCTGGAGGCTGAGCTTTCCCCAGGCAGTCACCACCACAAAAGCAGTGCTGGCTGCACACACTGCTCTTTTTTCATCAGCTTCCCCAGTTGAAAGCCAGCCCCAGGAAATTAGAGATGCGAGCGAAAGGGCTTTGTGTCTCACTGCTCCTTCCCTGGGAGCTGTGCACAAGAGAGCCAGCAGTCAGGGATGTGAGTGGCTTTGTCTGCCTTTGCCCTCAGCTTCCATCCCCCTTCCCTGCTGGGTCCCTTCCCGGTAAAGCAGAACCCAACCCCACACACGACTGTGCAGGGGGAGGAGAACACCCCCCTGAGCTGCGTGGGGAGCAGGGGCACCTGTTAGTGTTGGGTCTTGGAGATACAACCCCAATGGCACAGCCAGGCAGGACTGGGTGGGTGGACGGATCTCTGGGATAGAGTGGGAGCAAGGAGGCAGCAGAGCCCAGCTCATTCATCAGCAACCAGCCAGGCTGCAGGAGGGCAACCCGGCAGTGCAGCCCCACAGACCCAGCACAAGGGAACAGGAGCTCGGGGGGCAGCGGGGGACTCATGGGCAGGAGGAAGAGAGGGAGGACTCGGAGGGCACTCACATACTGGCTGGGGGTCTGGAACAAGCGGCAGGAGCAGAGGAACTGGCAGCACATGGGGTCCCGGTGGTACAGGAGCAGCAACAGGATGAGGATCGCCACGATGAAGACGGAGGTGGACACCGCTGCCGGGGGAAAGGAGCGGCGAGTGATCCGGTGGCCCGACGGGCCCGCAGGCCTCCTGCCGCTCGCCCTCGCCCCCTCGGCTGTCGCGGCACAGAGCAGCTTGGAGAAGCCCCGGAGAAGCCGGTTCCACCTGCTGCCCGTCCCAACGGCGCCAAAGCCCCTTTGTGCCCAACATCTCTCTCTCTCTACGAGACCGGGAAGAACCTGAAGAGCCGGGGCGGGGGCTCACCCCATCACGGACCGCGGCAGCGGGGACCGGCCCCGGGCGACCCACCCCGCATCCCCCTCCCGGGGCTCTCGGCTCTCTCAGCACCACGGTGCCGGCTCGCCGGCGCTCCTGTCTCCGGGAACCCACGGCTCCCACCCGGCCCACGCGCTGCTCCGCGGAGCCCACTGGCACCGCCAGCCCCCACGGGCACCGCCACCCCGCCACCCACCCCGCTCGGCCCCCAACCCCGGGAGCCAGCGGGACCCCGTATTAGGACCGGACGCTGCAGCGATACCCCCAGACCGGGGGTATCCCCTCACCGGCACAGCCCGGGAGGCACCGGCAAAGGCCGATCCCGCCCGGCGGCCGCCCCCGCTCCGCTCCCGGCCCCGGCGGAGCCCGCTCCCGGCACTCACTGGCGGCGATGACGATGGCCAGGACGTTGCTGTCCATGCCCGCGCTGGCGGCCGCCGTGTTGCCCGAGGCCTCCCCGGGCTGCGCCATCCCGACCCCGCCGCCGGCAGCCCCTGCCCGCCGCCCGCGCCACACCGGCCGCGACGGGCGGGGCGGGGCCGGGGCGGGGCCGAGGCGGGGCCGGGGCGGGCGGGCTCAGCGCTCCGGGGGCTCCCGGGCCGCTCCCCTCCGCACACGCGCCCGGGCCAGCCCGGCTCGTCCGCGGGTGCCCCGGCCCCGTGCCGGGGTTACCGGAGCCCCGCGGGGCTCCCGGGATCACCAACACGCGACAGCCCCAGCGCTGCCCCGCTCCTGCTGGGCTGGGCTGGGCTGCGGGAGGCTTGTGGCCCCGCAGGCACCAGGAGGTGCCCGCTCATTAGCTAATTAACACCTTAGTTAAGTGCCATGTCAAGGCTAAGTAGTCCGGTACCTGCAGGGCACACGCTGCCAGGGTGTAACCGGGCTCAGCCCCCGGCTCCGGGCCGTCGAGCTCTCACCCTCCGGCCACATGCTATGAAAATCTCAAACTTGGTTTTGGGTCATACATTATCCACACGAGCAAGGTCACTCTGCCTCAACACCCCCACACCACCTGCCCCGGTGCCCAGGAGGGATTTACACCCTCACTGGGGTGAGCCCAAGCTCCCCCCACCCTTCAGGCCTTCCAGACCACCACAAAAACCAGACACAGGACTGTAGAGATATAGATATATTTGTGATGATGTTGCATATTTAAGACAACTTTACATAATGCTTCTGACACAGAGTTTTGGCATCCTCCCCTGTGTGGCACCTCTCCCCTCCCACATCCCTCCACAGCTCCTGGAATACCCCAGGCAGGAGTGGGCACAGGAGGGATGGGCCAGGTGCCAGCAGGTACCTGCCCTCACATACCAAGGTCTCCATCCCCTCCATTTTACAACACACGTCTTGCAGCACCAGCATCCTTAAATCTGGAGACTGGGAGGGTGAGACCTGCCAGGCAGGGGGAGATGGGACACAGGAGGAAATTGAGGATGGCACAGATCCATGGAGACAGCAAAACCCCACCGGCTCCTGAGACCCTGCCTTGAGCAGAGGGTTGAGCCAGACAGGCTTCAGATAATCCCCAGCTGTGATGTGTCTTCCCAGGGTGAAACCAAACCCAGACTTCTCCAGGCAGCATCAGTCTTGGAGAAAAGAATGTTGGAGGCAGACCGCCAAGGACATCCTGTGAGGACAGCAGGGAAGGGGGATGCTCCATTGCAACTCTTCCCAGGAGGAGGTGGTGTCTCTTCCCTCCGGAGCAGAGGGAAGCAGGAACAGCAGAGAGCGGGTGGAGCTGGCTGGACCTTGTCTCGCCGCTTTGCTTTTTGTCCAGGGAAGCACAGCAGGTCCCAAGAGCTTCTGCTGACGCAGGAGAAAAGAAAAGGTCGGGCCAAGGAGCTGTGGCATGGGGCAGCCCCCCAGGCACGGCAAGCTGCTGTCTCATCCGCAGCAGGATGTTGGCTCCGTGGACGATGTTTTGGCAGGGGATGGGGGCATCCCTTTGCTGGAGCAGAGATGAAAGTGGTTGAGTCTACAGCGGCTTGTTGGCCTGGAACCACGCACTGAGCGCTCCCCGTTCGCTGTCACACAACACACCAGGGCTCCAGACATTTGGCACAGTTGGGCAGCTGCCCCATGGGACAGGCAGCACCTCACAACCTGGGGCAACCCTGCCCCAGGGCAGCAGGCTGCGGGTCCCCAGCAGCCCCCAGCAGGAAATGGGCAAACGGCAAAACAATAATAATAATTAATAATAATAAAAAAATACGTAAACAACCCAGCACCCTGTCCTGTAGCACCAGGACACCTAAGAGAACAAGGTACGTTACAGTCTGAGGGGAGATGGAGACACAAGGATTTCCCGGCCAACGCGGGCCCTCGTCTCTATTGCACTTTGCATCATATATATTTCTCTATATATATATTTATAAAAATACAAACTAAAGGGCTGGGGTGGAGGGGATGAGATGCAAGCCCTGGGCCAGCAGCAGTTCTGTGCACATAGCAGGCTTTGACTTGTTCTGCTTCTGCCTGTCCCCAGTCCCTCGCCAGCCCCCTGGGGGGGCAGCCAGCAGCAATGGCCTGGTCCTGCTGAGCTCCAGCCCAGGGCTGGGCAGGGTGCTGAGCTGGTCCAGAGCCTGCCCACACACCAGCTGTCCCTCCCTCCCTCCCACATCACTCTTTCCTGAGGCTCCAAGGCCTGGAGTAACAAACACATAGCTCTTCCCAAGCACCAGACATGCCCTCACAGGGACGGGCACCCCAGCACGCTCTCCCTGGCCAGCAAGGGCCCGTTCCTGGGGAGGTGGGCAGACCCACCTCATGCTTCTCCCTCTGCCCAAAACACCCCAACAGGAGAAGGTTTTCCCCTGCCTGAAGGTTCCCATTCTCTCTTCCTCGAGTGACTACAGTGCAAATGGCACAGGGTGATGTGGTCCGGAGACACCCCATGCCAGAGATGGAGGATGTTCCTCGCTCCCAAGGCCGCCCCCCGGCTGCTCCTGCTACCTCAGCCGCCCGTCGGGTTTGACGGGCCCCAGTTCCGATTTGGGGTCCGGGGAGAGAGAGCTCCAGGACGTTTTGCTGCAGGTCTCCAGGGAGGTGCAGGCGGAGGGGCTGCTGACACAGACACCTGCCACAGCCCAGAAGGTGCCGACGGCAGTGTCCGCCCAGTCCTCCAGTGCCTTGCCCGTCAGTTGCGCCTTCTGCGCCGCATCCTCCTCCGCCGCCTCGGAGCGCGGCAGGTTCAGGATCCCCCCCAGGCCCTGGAAGTTCTGATCCATGTACTCGTTGCGGGGGGGCCCACCGTGCAGCCAGTTGCTGTCGTCTGGGCAGGACAGGGAGAGAAGAGAGAGGGGATCAGCAGCGCAGCAACATCCCTGCAGGTTCTACCTCCCACTATGGTGGGGCACACCACCTCATCCCTTTCCAATCCCAGCTCCCTTCCAGCCCAAGGACTGGGATGCTGATGCAGGAAGGATCTGACTGACCTGCCAATGGGCCCTCCACAGCTGCCCAAAGGCCCAGTTTAAGGATTCAAGTGGGCAAGGGGACACCAGCAGAAATGGTTCCTGCCTTGTCACCAGTTGCAGCCCAGAGGCCAGCACAGGGGGATGCACCTTGGACCACCCACGGGGAAACCCTCCTGTCCAGCCCCAAAGCATCCTCACCTTTCCTGAGAGGCTGCTTGCGGTTGAAGGTCTGGGGCACCACCAGGAACTGGTTCTCCCCCAAAGGCTCCCAGAACTGGAGGAGTCGGATGGTCCAGATGCCGGGGCGCAGTGGGTGGTTGAGGGGGGGCTTGTACTGGGTGAACTCTGCCTCGGCATCCACCGTGATGTCGTAGGAGGCGGCAATGACGTAGGTGGGGTCGATCCACACCACCGTGGCTGTCAGGTTGGGGCCCCGTGACCACTTCTGCATGGCCACCGGCTCATCAAAAGGCCCCATCAAGCCTCCAAAATTGCGGAACAGTCTTTCCTTGGGGTCCCACTCTGTGCCCACCTGGAGGGACAGGAGGCACAAACAGTGGGATGCTGGGCAGAGAGAGGTTTTTTTATCAGCTGAGGTTTTGTGTTTCACCTGTCCGAACCAGGGAAGGCATTAACTTTGGAGCCCAAAGCAATGGACAACCCACCCGCCATGGCTCATGTGCCTGAACCCTGTCAGTGCTAATCCAGCCCTGGGAGGCCTCCTGCAGCTGCAGGCGTTGGGCACCATGGCCTCAGCTCTCCCCTGAAAGATCCTCTGTAGGCCTGTTCCCCACCAATCAGCTCCACATGCCACACAGAAACCAAACTCCCAGACAAAGGTTTGTTCTCAGACATAGTGGCAGCACTGTGTCCCTCTGTCCCCACGACGTGGTGCAGGTGGGGGAGAGGAGGAAGGGCTGCACAGAGTGGGAGAGCCAGGCAGGAAAGTGCCCCATTTACCTCAAGGTTTTGCAAGCGGTTTGCCTGCCCTCCGTGACCTGACAGCTTCAGAGCTCCTTGGGGCATCATCCACACCTCCAGGGACTCTGCCTGCCCAGTTGCCAAATTCTGCACTTCCTGCATCACCAGGTAACCCTGGAAACGGTCGTCATAGAAATATAAGTGCACACTGGAGGGGAAGCCCCGGGGTTCAAATCTGGATAAAGAGACAGAGAGAGAGGTTGCACGCCTTAGCATTGGCATCCTCCCAGCACGAGGTGAAGGCTGCCACTTGGAGCCTGGAAAGAGCCCTACAGCAAACACCCCACCTGCAGAGCTTGTCAGCCTTCACTGCCGGCGTGGACGCGGCTTTGTGGAGCCCCAGCCTGGAGAAGGCTGTGTAGAAGGTGAGGGTGACATCGCTGAGCCCGCTGAGCCCGTCCACGCGGTCATAGACGTTCTCCCAGTACGCCTTGAGGGCCGGTGTGTTGGGGGGGTAGCTGCCGTAGAGGTGTGTGTCCAAGATCTCCAGCACCTCCTGATTCACTGTTGACTCGAACTTGCGGGCGAAGAAGGTGGGTCTGGAGAGTTGCTGGAAGAGCACAGGCATTTCTAACAGTGTTGGCTTCGCTCGCTCTGCCCTCCCACCCCAGCAGGAAGAAACGCTGGGACCCATCCTGTCCCCTTTGAGGGCACAGGCTAAGGAGCAGCCCAGCCCAGCCAGTCTGTACGTGGGATCCTCTATGACAGGATCAGTGGGAGCACATCGAACGCTTACTGGTAATGCAGATGGGTTCCCATGTCTCCCACTGCCGCCTCCTTTCTGTGCTCAGAAGCAGCCATGTGTCATCCAGCTCCTTTGCTGCAATCTCTATTCTGATGGGCCCCCACCCCGCAGAGCTGCTGCAGAGCCCTGCACAAGCCCTGGCCATGTGGCACAGCCTGCAGGATCAGGGCTCTGCTCTGGGCTCTGCAAGCCCAAGACTGCTGGAAAATCCTGCCAACTGCTCTTTTCAGAGCTGGGTCTACCTCCCCCAAGCCTCCCGTGTTCAGTCTACATCCCCATGCACTGAGAGCATGGGAGACAGTTTGTCAGAAGGCATTTTGTCCTGCCAAAAGCGGCAGCACTCCAAAGGGG